CGTGGCATTGATTCCACAAGGTGCTGATAGGTAGTCTGAGGTATCTGGTACCAAGCGCTCACCAACTGGTCTTGCAATTCCCTCACATTGCGAGGGGGTAGCGTGGCAGCACGAATTTGGTTTTCCAAGTAGGACCACAAATGCTCTATTGGATTAAGGTCAGGTGAATTTGGGGTCCAAGACATGACTTGAAAGTCACTGGAACGTTCCTCGAACTAATCCACGACGACTCGACCCTTAAGACATGGTGCATTATCCTGTTAGTAAACACCATCCCCCGCAGGAAAAACTGTTGCCATGAATGGGTGAACCTTGTCAGCAACTATGTTGTTCTATGAGGATTATGGGTCCTAATATGCCCCACGAAAACATTGTTCTTGGGCGAGAAACCATGAAAACCTGGGAGAGGCCATTGTCATAGATGGAGGGTGGTCATAATGTAATGGCTCTTCGGTGTATATACAGTATACTCTTGATAGTTCAAAGTTGAAGGGGCACTAAAAAAATTTCGAGATAGTGAGTTTTCAAGATAACAAGTGCAGAACTAAATATGTTCTGAAAAGTAGAAAAATATATTTTAAAATATTGCTCTAAAAAGCAGAGTCATGAAACATAAGAATAACTACTAATAAATGTGTGTGTAATGATAGTTGACTATGAGTCTAAATACAATAATTATAACTTAATTTTTAAAAGTAAGACAAAAATATTTAAGTATTAAACAGAAAAGAATTTTATTACAATAAACTTGAATTGTGATTTTTCTTAAGAAATTGCTTTTTTATTTTGAAAAAAATTCGACATAACAAGGTTTTAAGAAGAAACTCTTCGACATAGGAAGTTAAATTAACATTAGGTGGATATATAATGCCAGGGGAAAAAATATTTTTTTGACATAAAAAGGTTTTTGAGATATCGACAGTATACTGTATATATATTTTAAATTACAGCTGATGCTTCCCTCCAGAGAGTAACCCATATAAATGCTTTTCCATAATTATGAAACTACTCTTGTTTTGACATAAAGATGTGATAAATATAAATTTTTTTTCATCCAACCGATAAACATTCACAGTAATAGTAACATTTATTCCCAAGTATGTATTTTTTCTGAAAAATGAAAAAGGCTGCAACTTACTTCCTTATTGCATAAATTGCAATGGCTTTTAGAATTTTTAACAATACTTTACGTCCTTTAAGAATTTTATGCTGATGACAACAAAAATAATAAGAAAATCAATGTGAGAAAGCTGGATTCTACCATGTGATTTTTCAACCAATAAAAATTCATGGACAACATTGGAACGCTGTGTTAAACCATTGGGTTTGTATGTAATATAGAGAAAATGTAAAACAGTATGTCACAACCAATAAAAATGCTTAAAAACAATAAAATTAAAAAAAAAAATACTTACAATAGTTGGACTAACATGAACTGGTTGAGGAGTATGCCAAGATTCAGAGGGATTAGCTTTTAGAGGGCGGTAAATCAGAGTGAAATTGGTGATTGGATAGCCTCCATCCTCCTCTACGTGCCAACGCACCGTAGCAACAACTGTTGAAGGATGTATACTCACATTTCTTAATTTCCCAGGAGGAGCTAATAAATAATTTAAAAAAAAAAATTTTAATGTTGAAAACATTGAACAAAAAAGTAGCTATTCATTTATAAAATAATGCGTAATATGGTAAGTTGCTTAAAGAGTTTAAGGGTCAGAATTAGGTACCTTGACACACACAAAATAGGTAATGTGTCATTCTGAATAATTATATATTGATTTCAATTATTCTACATTTTAAATTACTTATTACTACTTTTCCTATAATAGTTCAAAAAATAAAGAAGTTATTAATCTGAAAAAATTTGAATCGTAAGATATATTTTTATTAAAAAAGATATCTTTTCAGAAAGAAAGACAGGAAAGACAGAACTATAACACATAAATTAATAATTTCATTCTGACATTGAAATGAGTAAGGAATGGTAATATTTAAAATTTGGTACAATAATTATATATTCTTAATATTAATAAATCAATAGTGGTGCATGGTCCAATAAATTGAAGAGACTATTATCAATCTTTAAAGAAAATTTTTATAACTCCAATTATAAAAGTTCCTTATAAAAATCACTCAAAATTATAAAAATTAAGTTCAATCAATTAAAAAGGCTTTAGATTACAGTAAGACAAACTTTCAAATTAATATAAATAATAGAATATAAAGAGTGTTCTTTTACTTTGAAACAATTTACATAATAATTAAAAATACTAGTTGATAAATAACAAAAAAAAGGCAATATACCACTCTGGCCTCTATGTAAAGTACCATTGAAATAACTGTACAAAAAAATAATAAATTTATAATGCATGTATATATATATTTATTCAAACTTCGATAATTCAAAGTTCAAGGGGCCGGCAAAATTTCAAATTATTCAAAAAATTTTATATTTGTCATTAAAATAATCATTCACAACAGAATTTGCGATAAAAAAGTATGTTTATTAATTTTAAATCAAATAAATACAGCTTTTTATAATTTTGAGATATTTCAGATTACTTTAAAGAGCTTATTTGATTTTGTTTACAAAATCATTCATGAATATCTACAGCTTGAAACACTGCTTCACTAACGTTAGAATGTCCTTCTACATAATGACGATATTCCGCTAAACGAAAGACTACCTCACGAGAAGTTGGCCTCTGTTCTACCTCATCTTCATCGTCTTCTGTTGCTCTTAAATTGTTGTTTCCTAAGCTGACAGAGCATTCTTCTGCTTTTGCACAAACATTAGTTCCACTGAGAAGGATGATCAAGACATAAACCACTTCAAGACACACTCTTCCACATCAAGATTATCTGGTTCTCTAGCTCGTTTGCAATTTCGATTAGATTTCAAAATGTTTTCTTTATTTTTCAAAAAGGTCAAAAGAATGTTAGGTCGAAAGAGTATCAGTGTTATTCCATACTCTTTTTCAATGATGCATTTCTTTTTTACACCCTTTTCTACCTCACGAATCACAAAAATTTTTCATCGAAAGATAAGGTTTTATACGAGACACAGGCGTACACAACAACATGCTTGCATTGAACTTGCACAACAAAAACTAAAAGCACAATCAGGGTGCATAGCCAAATTATTCAACAAAAAATAAGCATCTTTTAAGCACTTAAAAATATTTTTAAGTACTTTAAAAAAATATCATAATTAGGCAGGGTAGGAAAGTTTTTGACAATTGACAGTTTTATCTTGTTTTAACCGTCATGTAAAAAAAGAACTTTTGCCATTGTATTTGACAATTGTCAATATTCATGAAATTCTGAATTTTTTTGCATAATTCATAGCAAAAATCAACATGGTAAAAGAAAAGTCTCATTTTGAAAAAAGGGAAAATCAAGCACTTTTTAAAAACACCCAATGAAAAAAGCACCTATAAGGGCTTTTAAAAAACGAAAATCAAAAATAAGCACCTTTAAGCACTTACATGTCATCTACGATTTATCGCATTGGCGAGAGTATGATGTGTCACTTACAAGAGAAAGGGTGGAGACCACTCATATCCAAGAATAGACTTGGGTGGTTTGCATCCCTTCCCTTTTTATCCTTGCTGTTTCCTAGAACATAGATAAGAATAATCTCCCCCCCCCCTAAAGAATTTCTCTTCCCTAAAGAGTTTTCCACAATAGCTGAATATAACCCGGCCACTTTTTAAATAACTGCATTGAAACTAAATTTTGTCATTTTTGAAAGGGTAAGAACTTCGAATTAAAGAAGTTGGACTTCTAAATAACTAGGATTTTGTAGCATTAACTGAATAAACAAGTTTCAAGGGACCGACAAAAACTTCAAACTAACTACGAATTCGAATTGACGTTCGGATTATCGAATTTGACTGTGTATATAGTTGTTCTGAAAGATTTTTAAAAGCAATATTATTAGGTTGTTCTTAGTTATGAGAACTACTAAAACTAAAATAAACAAAAAAATAGCTTGCGAAAAAGTTTCAAACAGTAAGAAACAAAATATTCTCCTAAGAATGGATACTCCATCACTCAAATACCGGGCCAACATATACAATAAAACTCATTTTTCACGCAGTCTGTTGTGAAAGAAGAAAAAAGTTTAAATAGTTAAATTCGTAAAAATGATTAGGATCGAATAATTACGAGTGAAGTACTAAATTGTGTTGAAATCTATAGTAGTTTTCAAACATATATAGTTTTTCTCAAAGGTTTTTACAGGTCATAACAGTTTTAAAATAAATTTACCATATAATTTGATATTATTCAGAATGCAGATTAAAGTCAGTAAAATGTAGAAATTTTTCCCCAAAGCCTGTAAAAAATTAATAAAATATTTTTTTCTTCTTCCATTTTAACATTTTACATTTCAGACATAAGTTTATTGAAATAAATATAATAAACTTGAAGATAATATTAAATAATAAAACATAACTATTATGAGAATGAAAAAAAGTTATATTACTAACTTTTCACATGCAGTTGCAAATTTATTTCTTTTAAATCATAAAGATTAGTTGCTAAACATGTATAGTTCCCAGTATCCATAGAAAGAACAGAATAAAATGCTAATCCACTTTGATTTTTAACTGGATGATCCTGACTTGTATTGAAGGACAGCAAATGTCCATTTTTTAGCCATGAAACCACTGGTTTGGGCTCTCCAGAAACTTTACAAGGTAAAAATGCAGAAGATCCAACATCAACTTCAATGACAGATGATAAAGGAGAAGACACTTTCAGATGTGCTAACGAAAGGAAAAAGCTTGTATGAATTGCAAGGTTAATAATATAATTTACTAAGTTACGTTGGTATAGGTTTGAATAACCACAATATATTACTAAAGTCTTAATTCCATTATTGATACCCAAACCAAAATAGTCACTAGGCTTTAAATCATAGAAATTAAACTAAACATGTAAAGACAAAAATTTTTACTCTATTCAAGTTAACTTTTTATACATAACACAAGTTTTTATTAAGTTATGCATAACACAACAAGTTATACATAACACACTTTTTATACATAACACATTACCAGAAAAGAGCACAAATTTATACTCTATTTGCAATATTTAATAACACAAAGTAATCCCTTTTTTTTCATATAAATAATTGTTAGGACAAAGAGAAAGTACCATTCCATTTTACAACCATTGACATTTACATTATTACCCAGTATCCATTACATTAAATGGTAAAAAATTTAAAAGCTTCTTTTGATGTCTCTCTTGATGAGTTTGGTGACATTTTAGGCACAGGTAAAGACGCGAAAATGTTATGTTAGAATGCTGCTAACTTGTCAATATTTCAACTTGCTTCATCACAATCATGAGTCCCGCAGTGGACTGATCCTAAAGGCACGGTTCTCAGTAGAACACCGAAGTCAAGTATCACTGGTTGGGTGGGCAACCACTTTGATCAGCATGCGTAGGGACCGAGGGTGCGCGGTATCTTTCCTTGTTAAATTGTTCTATTGTAAAGGGCTCAACTTCACGCGCAGGTCATCGGGGTACTTAAGCGCAGGAGCTATCCCCTCTGCAGAGGATCAAAATTACGATGGCATGTCTCTGGATAATCCTCAGTGAGGGGATGTTTTCCAGACTGTCACCAATGGCCCATGTGCAGCTCTAGTGCGACGTTAATAAAGTACGTACCTCATCTCATCATAAAACATTTAAAAATATTTCTAATTACAATTGGATGCATGAGGTATTAGAGAGCTCCGTTAGTAAAATTTTCTTTTAAGCAGTTTAAATAATATTCCTTGCCACTTTGACAAGCATAAAAAGAAAAGTTTTATTCGGTGAATTAAGAGTGTGCAACTACAAATTAATTAAAACCATAATCAATACTATTTTATTAATGCAGATATACATACAAACTAAGATAGATGAAACAAATTATTTGGAAATTGCAATCGAATATTTAAAATATTCTTTCTCTCGTCCTATTATTTTTTTTCAAAAAAGATAGACCTAAGAAATGTGCAGGGATTGTTGTGTACTATCATTGAAGATCGCTTTAAAAATTTATAACTTACTGATAAATTTAAATTATTATATATATAATTACCATAAGTTAGGACAAATTTACTTGCAGCAGTTATATACACAATAAAAATACTATTTATAAAACAAAAGCGCAAACAGCGATCCATAGCCATTGTTTTCTTTTTCACAGTTGTTTGCAATGCCATTTTGAATGATATAAACATAATTCTTAAAAATATTAAATTCATAAAATTTTAAGTTAAAATGATTTTGAATGCAGCAAATTTTGTTAAAAATTTCAATGTTTAAAAAATTAATTCTATTGCTCCTAAATATTGTAATAAATTAATAATATCAGTTGAGTCTATTCACTTCATTTCAAATTGTGACGTCAGAAATAAACAAACCAAACCGAATCTTCTCTGATGCAGTGATTGCAGACGATAAGATTGACACGGTGGTTTGAGTATCGAATGGAATGTTATTAAACGACTAACAGATATTTCTTTTTTATCAATATTTGAATTTGAATTTAAAATCGAAAAATGGATTAAAAACATTTTTCGCGAGTTGATTTTGGTAAGTTGAAGCCTGCTTAACGAATTTTTATATTTGCTAAATTATTTACTGTTATTGTTTGATGTTTCAAAGGAAGTCTTTATCTTAAAAATAATGAATGAGATTATTTATTTTAACATTTTCTTCATTTGTCTATTAACTTTAGCTAGAAAGCTCTTTTTCTTTTAGATTTTCTCTACGTTTTAATACGATTAATTATATATTGCGCTTTGAAAGTGTTCTTAAAGTGCACTGTTTTTTAATAGATCTCTAAGTTTCGAATCTTTTAAATAAAATTAACTAGTTGTTACAGTTGCAAATATTTCATTGTGATTGTAACTTTTTTACGTACTGTATTCTATATATAATTGATTTTCAGCAGGGAAAACTGTTGTACCGCGAACCTACTCGGTCTATGATAGTATTTTTATGACAAATGACAAAAATTGTTATAAGCTGTTCTGGACATTATTTAAAAATTTTTTTTACTAAATTTTTCTTTGTCCGAATACACTTATTGTCGAAAGTATTAAAATAAAATTCTAAAGTTGTTTTAAGGCATTATTTTCACTATTTTTAATTGAAGGGGGTCAGAAACTTGCATCCATGAGAGCAAAATTCTTTCATTTATTTTTATTCATATCTCGCCAGATCCGTGGCTAGACTTTATGTTCCTTGCAAAGCATTTTACAAGACCCTTTTTAATGTTTGCAATAATCATTACCTCTCTGTCAACAATAGATTACCCCAACGTTAATGAAATAAATCATACTATTTATTTAGGAGTTTCTTTCTTAAGAATGCTGGGCGTGAAATTTCAGTTTTAAAGGCAGAAGCTTGACTAAAATTTTTACTCACCACTGTTTAACATTCATGAATACATGAACATTAATTAAAATCTTAACAAATGCAGTATGAAGAACATTTTGGTGACTGAAACCATAAAATAATGTAGAAACAGTAATCAAAAAATGTAAAATCAAAACAGCGATAGTAATATTAAAGCAAAATAAGTATGTCTCAATGTTTTAATATTTCTAATAGTCATGGTTTCGGGGGGTAAAAGGCGGGTGAACCAGCATTTTTTGTTGTAATTGGGAAAAAAAATGCTGTCGCTTGATATCAAAACACTTGTGTACACCGTTTTGCTGAGGTACAATAATCCAAGTGGATAAAGTTCAATTTAAAACTAAACATTTCAAAAAATGAAACTTACTTGCCAGCTTTAAATATTTGCTTGCTAGAGCTAGCGAGTGGAAATATCTTGTCCTGGGAATGAAGAACTTAACTTGTTTTTCTTATTCTACAATTTTGTTTTCAAATTTTTATTATTACTGAAGTATTATTATTGATTTATCAGGCTCGCGATCCATGAAGTAGAATCGCTAAATTTCGTGTTTAAGGGTCCCGCTTAAGTAATCAACTAAAAATGCTTAAATGTATTTTATTTCTTAATTCTGTAATTTTGATTTCGATTAATATTTTTCTTGTACGTGGGCTTAGAAATGCTTGAAATAGAAAACACGGTTTGTGAAATTTTCATTTATGAATTAATTTTTTTAATATAACTGGTATGAGATCATCTACAGTCCTATAAATGCAGGGTCGTTGCTTGTTTGTCCCAACTTTAAAATGACTCTATATCTTCTGTTTAAAATTTATTGAACACTTTTATGGAAAAGTTGTATCTAAATATCTTATTAATTAAAATTTGTATAGTTTGTGTTTTAATGGTTGTTTTTTTTAAATATTTATATGTATGTTTACAGACACTTTTAGGATTGTAATTAATTATAAGTTTTCAGTTAAATTTAAATTACTAAGATTTTGCTCTGCATAAAAAAAAAAAAAATCTTTACTTGAAATTAAGTAAACATGATTGTTAATGATACTTGTTATATATGATTACAAATTTGATGAAAGAAAAAAAATAAATATTTAAAATGCCTTAGAATGAAATTTTAGTCCTAACATTTTGTTTATTTTTATATATGAAGACAACAATTATGATATCTACAGTTTTATGCAGTTATCAAAAATTTATTTATGTCATATAAAGCTGGCAGATTATTTTAAATTATAAAAAAGTATGAAAGATTATGCCCCTATGCAGAACTAAACTATACCTATCATGAATGAAATACTGAAATTTTTTTTAAGAGTTCTTGTTTAAGCGCAGAAGGTGTAGCACAGAATTTACTACAGGATTTCTAATTTGGCATTATATATTATCAGTGGCAGACTAATTAAGATTGATTAATATAAATTGTTTTATTACATTTATATAAATAAATATTATTGCATTGACATCATACCTTGTAATTACAGTTTTCAATACCATTTTTGTAACTGTTATTTATTCTTATTTAATTTATTATAATGTCTTTTAATGACTTGCTAATGAAAATAACTAATATTATTACATTTAATAATAAAGGATATTAAATAATAAACATTCATTCATTGTTATACTTTATTTTATTTTGTGCAAACTAAAACTAAATTGTTAAAATTTGAATTACAGTTTTTTCCGTGGCAATTACATGGGAGATGCTATTATAGTGTAACAGTTTTTGTTCTAATGGAATTTGGCATTTACATATACTATGGTATAAGGAACAGAATTTTTCTTTCTTTTCTATACAACAGCAAAACTTCAGTTTTCTATCTTAAATTGACTTTATCTTTAATTGCACTGTTTTTTTTCTTCTCTTCTTGGTATTCAATTTAAAAACTATGCATGGCAAAGGAACTTTCTTACAAATTTGTTCAAGAAGCTTTAAAATTGAAGGAAGGGTTACACCTATCTAACAACTTTTACTTTGACCATTTTAAAGATTTTTTATAAAGATTCTTAAGGGTTCTCATTAAAATAATAGCTTTATGCATCTATCTCTTATTTTTTGATTTTTTAAATTATTATCGATTTTTTAAATATTTATTATTTTTTAATTAATTGATTATTTGATTTTTTAAATTGAATTTTAAATTGAGATTTTTATTAATTTTCTAGGTAAAGCTATTATAAGCTATAATTACTTGGAGGCCCCGCTTACTGAACCCCATATATGATTGTTTCACATTCATCTTTGCATTCCCCAAAAAATATTGATATTTTTTATAGTAAATAAACAAATGGGGTATAATGATTAGGCGAAGAGAAATTTGTTAATAAAATATGTTTATCAATGGAATAAATATTTCATTCATAAAACATTTTTAATATTTTTTTTTATTCCAACTTAATGTGGTTTATATTTTATATTTTTCTCATCTTTTTTTGTAATGTTCTGTAAAGAGAGGTTGGACTCTTAACTTTCGATTTAAAAACCACTGAGAATAGTTTTTGTCAAAAGTGTGGCTTTATGCAAACAATATTTTATTTATATTTTTTTATCTCTTTATTTTTTATTTATTTTTATTTTTTTAATCTATTGGTGATTCTGTAGTGAGAACATTTGTAACAAACAATGAAAATTTTCCAGCTTTCTTACAAGAAAAGAACTCTCACCTTCGATTTAACAACCTCTCCGAACAGTTTTTGCCAAAAGTGTGATTTTATACTAATCAATTTTTTTAAATTTATAGTAGCATCAATTTCTGTTGTAATAAAAATTATAAAGAATAAAGCATAGATGCGTATTTGAGAGCAAATATTACCTATATTGTTATAAATAGTTTAATTCAGTAATATTACTTTTTTTCTTTTATTTCTTCATTAAAAAAAAAGTTTGTTTTTGTGATACTCTCAACATATTTGAGTCAGTCGACTTATAATTTATGACGGAAATTGGTAAATAGTACAGTTTTCTCTGCTAGTTTAGCTATCACAATAAATTTTTTGAATGCTAATATATTCAATGATTGATCCGTGAGAACATTAATATATATGTATTTAAAAAATCGATTCTCACTTAAAATGCGGTGTTTACCAATTTTTTTAAGCATTTAATTATTTCCTGAACTTTTAATTTCTGTGCTATTGTTTTGAAAGCCAAATACCACTATTATTTTAGTTTGAAAATGAAATTTGTATAGAAATTCCTAATCAAACTATTCTTTTTGTTTGGTTAAATGAGTTAAAAAAAAAACAATTGTGATAAACTTTAGCGATATTATGACAACATAGTCTTTTTTCTATTATCTATTTTATTCGTTTTATTTTTTTACTTAAAACGTCAAAGAAGAGCGAGATTATATAAAATAAAAATATCGAGAGATAATGATAGATAAATGATGGATGAGAGATAAAATGAACTATGCACAAATAAATTGTATCAAAAAGCGATGATTTAAATGCGCGATTAGAAGCTCGCGTGCCGTAATAACATCGTGGTTAAAATAACGGGATTGTCAAATCCGCATAGAAAAGCATCGCAATTACAAAAAAAAAAGAAGAAAAAAAAAGGGCCGCTTAAATGTATGTTGAAATGAGCAAAAATAAAACGGGTCAATATGCAATATGTAATTATTTAAATGCGTGATTTAAAATTCTCATGTTGTAATAAAAATTGGAATTTTTAAAACCATGCGGCAATATTCGCAGCAGGAAGTGCCGAAAAAATTATCGAAAAATAATATGGACTAAGATAAAATCGGCAAGGAAAGCGCGTCAAAAATTTGATCATTTAAATGAGCAATTTGAAATTCGTGCGTAGTAATAATATGATAGTAAAATACGGGATTTTCAAGAGCGTAGAAAATCTTGACAAAAACAGCCTCTAGAAAAAAGAAATCAAAACCACAAAGTCATTTAGATTCAGATGAAATCGGCAGAAAAGCAGCACGTCACAAAGTGATAAGTTAAATACGTGATGTATAACTCACGAGTCGTAATATAGTAATAAATGTATAGGGATTTTACAAAACGCATGGAAATCGGTAGTTATAAATGCGAAAAAAACAAACAATTAGTTGAAAGAATTAGTGAGAACATACTAAAAATGAGCTTTTTTTTTAAATGACAAATTTTTGCTTTGAAGCCCTAAATTGATATTAATATACAAAAAGAAAAAAAAAAA